TATAGATATGGCTTACGAACACAGTTTTTGGTAAATTAAGGCCATTTGTTTAAATGTGTTTTTCATACTCTAGGAGTTGAATGGTCTGACATTAAAGCCTGGTTTCGGTCCAGAGTTTTATAAAGAATCAAACGGATATCTGCCCGAGGTGAGACCATCAGCTAGCTGACAATAACTCAGCGCAATCTGCTGCTTACATTTCTAAAATCATTTTTCCCAATTGTTCCCAAACAGGCTCCAATCAGCATCCCTGCGCCGCCAAGGAAACCCAAGATCCGGCGGGATTCGCTGTACCCCACCAATAGAGACCACATGATCTGCAAGTGCCTGTCTCTGAGCATCACGTACGCAGCCACCATCGGCGGCCTCATCACCATCACCGGCACCTCCACCAACCTCATCTTCGCCGAGCAATTCAACAAGTACGTTATCAGTCCCATAAAAGCTGCATTCAGAAAACACTGGGATTTGTTTAAGCACCTGATTCAATCCGCTCAATCTCATTTCCTGACGCTAAGCGCAGAAAAAGAACCCTTTCCTTTCTGCAACATTTCTTGGGCAAAGGTGACTGTATATTGTGACCTGGTTTTGCTGATGTAAAGATATAAATTAGAGTGAAAAGCGGGCATTTATTGGGTCAATGGGGTTTGTATTGACTCTCCTTTTATTCTTTCACATCTGTTATAGTCTGTGCTTGCTGGAAGTGCTGTTATCACTGACATATTCCAGAAATAATCAATGTAAAGCGCTAATTGGCTTAAAATGGGTCAGCGAGAAACCTTGCGCCACTTCGACCGGCTCTCAGTATCTTCTCGAGGCTTGTCTTGAATGCTGTGTAAACAGAATCTTGTCCTGTTCTTCCACACTGGAATCAGTTTGACCCCCGAACGCAAGGCGCTGGGCTGAGATTGAGCTTTCATGTGACAGAACGTGCTTTAATTATATGTAAAAATCAAGTTATGAAGTTTTTAATGACTTGTGTTTGCTGTGTAGGTGAAGTGTGAAAGGAGCTATTGATAAACCATCTTAAACGCATTCATAACCCATTTTACTTCCATAATGTGACATATTTCAGAGCAAAACATATTTTCTTAGTAAAAATTAACTAGAAAAAATATAGAATGGAACTTTGTTTTATAAATTGGGAATGCTGAAAACTGGTCTTTATTTGCAGGTTAAAACTACTGGTGATGTCAGCTGAAAAGAAAAGTTGTTTCAGAAGAAGAGCACGTTTTTTACGAAACAATGTTTTATTTTGATATTTTTAATATTTAAATATATTTATTACTATTAATTTATGTTTATTAACATTTTAATACTTTTATTTAATACAATTTTTTTAATGTTACTTTATATTTATTTTAATATAAATATTAATATTATTTAATATTAAAATAAATTAAATAATTATTAAAAACATTATTTGGAATAATTTGAACAGAGAAAACATTCTCCACAAGACTAGGAATATGCATTAGATGTATATAGGGATAATAGAATAGAATAGAATAGAATAGAATAGAATGCATCTTGTTGCTATCACTTTTTCATGATTGGACTAAATAGAATAGAATAGAGTGTAACTTGTTGCTATAACTTTTTCATAATTTGACTAAATAATGACAGCATAGAATAGAGTAGAATAGAATAGAATAGAATAGAATATAACTTGTTGCTATCACTTTTTCATAATTTGACTAAATAGAATAGAATGGAATGCAACTTGTTGCTATCACTTTTGCCTTGATCGGATTAAATTAAATAGAATAGAACAGAACCGAACAGAACAGAAAAGAACATGTTGCTATCACTTTTTCATGATTGGATTAAATAGAATAGAATAGAGTGTAACTTGTTGCTATAACTTTTTCATAATTTGACTAAATAATGACAGCATAGAATAGAATAGAATAGAATAGAACTTGTTGCTATCACTTTTTCATAATTTGACTAAATAGAATAGAATAGAATGCAACTTGTTGCTATCACTTTTGCCTTGATCGGATTAAATTAAATAGAATAGAACAGAACCGAACAGAACAGAAAAGAACATGTTGCTATCACTTTTTCATGATTGGACTAAATAGAATAGAATAGAGTGTAACTTGTTGCTATAACTTTTTCATAATTTGACTAAATCATGACAGCATAGAATAGAATAGAATAGAATGTAACTTGTTGCTATCACTTTTTCATGATTGTACTAAATAGAATAGAATAGAGTGTAACTTGTTGCTATAACTTTTTCATAATTTGACTAAATCATGACAGCATAGAATAGAATAGAATGTAACTTGTTGCTATCACTTTTTCATGATTGTACTAAATAGAATAGAATAGAGTGTAACTTGTTGCTATAACTTTTTCATAATTTGACTAAATCATGACAGCATAGAATAGAATAGAATAGAATGTAACTTGTTGCTATCACTTTTTCATGATTGTACTAAATAGAATAGAATAGAGTGTAACTTGTTGCTATAACTGCTATAACTTTTGAATAAATCATGACAGCATAGAATAGAATAGAATAGAATGTAACTTGTTGCTATCACTGCTATCACTTTTGACTAAATAGAATAGAATAGAATGCAACTTGTTGCTATCACTTTTGCCTTGATCGGACTAAATTAAATAGAATAGAACAGAACAGAAAAGAACATGTTGCTATCACTTTTTCATGATTGGACTAAACAGAATAGAATAGAGTGTAACTTGTTGCTATAACTTTTTCATAATTTGACTAAATCATGACAGCATAGAATAGAATAGAATAGAATAGAATGTAACTTGTTGCTATCACTTTTTCATGATTGGACTAAACAGAATAGAATAGAGTGTAACTTGTTGCTATAACTTTTTCATAATTTGACTAAATAATGACAGCATAGAATAGAGTAGAATAGAATAGAATAGAATAGAATATAACTTGTTGCTATCACTTTTTCATAATTTGACTAAATAGAATAGAATAGAATGCAACTTGTTGCTATCACTTTTGCCTTGATCGGACTAAATTAAATAGAATAGAACAGAACAGAAAATAACATGTTGCTATCACTTTTTCATGATTGGACTAAATAGAATAGAATAGAGTGTAACTTGTTGCTATAACTTTTTCATAATTTGACTAAATAATGACAGCATAGAATAGAGTAGAATAGAATAGAATAGAATAGAATATAACTTGTTGCTATCACTTTTTCATAATTTGACTAAATAGAATAGAATAGAATGCAACTTGTTGCTATCACTTTTGCCTTGATCGGACTAAATTAAATAGAATAGAATAGAACAGAAAATAACATGTTGCTATCACTTTTTCATGATTGGACTAAATAGAATAGAATAGAGTGTAACTTGTTGCTATAACTTTTTCATAATTTGACTAAATAATGACAGCATAGAATAGAATAGAGTAGAATAGAATATAACTTGTTGCTATCACTTTTTCATAATTTGACTAAATAGAATAGAATAGAATGCAACTTGTTGCTATCACTTTTGCCTTGATCGGATTAAATTAAATAGAATAGAACAGAACCGAACAGAACAGAAAAGAACATGTTGCTATCACTTTTTCATGATTGGATTAAATAGAATAGAATAGAGTGTAACTTGTTGCTATAACTTTTTCATAATTTGACTAAATAATGACAGCATAGAATAGAATAGAGTAGAATAGAATATAACTTGTTGCTATCACTTTTTCATAATTTGACTAAATAGAATAGAATAGAATGCAACTTGTTGCTATCACTTTTGCCTTGATCGGACTAAATTAAATAGAATAGAACAGAACAGAAAAGAACATGTTGCTATCACTTTTTCATGATTGGACTAAACAGAATAGAATAGAGTGTAACTTGTTGCTATAACTTTTTCATAATTTGACTAAATAATGACAGCATAGAATAGAATAGAGTAGAATAGAATATAACTTGTTGCTATCACTTTTTCATAATTTTACTAAATAGAATAGAATAGAATGCAACTTGTTGCTATCACTTTTGCCTTGATCGGACTAAATTAAATAGAATAGAACAGAACAGAAAAGAACATGTTGCTATCACTTTTTCATGATTGGACTAAACAGAATAGAATAGAGTGTAACTTGTTGCTATAACTTTTTCATAATTTGACTAAATAATGACAGCATAGAATAGAATAGAGTAGAATAGAATATAACTTGTTGCTATCACTTTTTCATAATTTGACTAAATAGAATAGAATAGAATGCAACTTGTTGCTATCACTTTTGCCTTGATCGGACTAAATTAAATAGAATAGAACAGAACAGAA